AAGCAGTAATCATAATAAGTATGTTCCAGTTTCATTACAACCAACAGAAGCGATAGAGCCATCAAACTGAAACAGAGCCATTTGCTTTTACTTTATCACTTTCATCTCTGTGTCCTTTTTGCAGTGTCATGATGCAAGTGTTGATAATTTTCTTTCTTTTGTCTCAAAATGCAAAAAGACCTCAACTCTAGAAGAGTCAGGAAGAAAGGAAAAAGAGTAATATAAGATAGATACTAAAAAAACAGCATTAGTTTTAGAGGGCTTTAAATGCGGCAAAAATTTCTGGACTGGGACGGGAAGCATCAACTCAGGAACTACTGTATGGAATATTTTGGTTTGTTTTTTATATACTATTTGAAGATTATGTTATTCCTATGCTTTTTATTTTTTATTCTTTAATTTTTTGTGTCTAAAAACATCTCAATTCATATATAATTTCTCTGTTATTCAATCAAGAAAAACACTTTTTCATAAGCTTGACCAGTTCCTCTCATTAGTTGTGCTTGGATTGACACGGGAAGGCTAACAAACAGTGGCCTCTGATCTCTTTTCGAAAGGAAACCTTTGGAGGAGAGACAAGTGACCACTTCGGTAAAAACGGCGTCCTAGCAAAAAAAGGTAATTATTATTTTAAAAAAGCCAAAGCTTTCTTTTAATCTTATCTTTTTTGAGCATTCAGTTGACTTTGATGCTGGGTCTTGAGGAGTGACTCCTCAATTTGATTTTCCATTGTCTTTCTATATTATTCTACGTGTCCACTACACAACTTTAAATTTGTTTTCTTTTAAAGCTTCAGTTATCAACAGGACTGTCAAAGAATTACCAAGAAGTACAATCCCGATTTACTGGTTGATACCGTAAACAGCGAAGATAATAATCAGTTCACAGTACGAGCCGTGTCAGATAAATGCCCAGAAAGGCAACTGCTGTAAGCACTCTTCAGTTAAAATTATTGTCTGATTAGTTACGACAGTCCTACAGTCTGAAAGAGTATAAATTTGCAAAGAAGTTTTTTCTAACTAAAAGTTTAGGCAATAACAAGGTTTTTGCTTATAAAGTTTTAAATTTTATAGCCTCATCACCTATTCACTGCAAGTCAGTAGAATTAGAACGAATTTATTAAGCCAGCGGCTACAAGGTCTAATAACGAAGTCGCAGTCATTTAATGCATCATGAATTTCTAAGAACATTTATTACGAGCACAAAAAACAAATTTACAGAATAGTTCTTCCTAACTAAGTGAAAAAATATTAAAACCAAGATGAAACTTTTTTTCAAAAATGAATAAACAACACAAACTTTTATTGAACTCTTGTTGATGAACTGACAACCTGATAATAGAAAGTTAGTCCATCACTAACTTGTTTTTATTTTATTTATTTCGACTGCAGTCATGGTAAATAATAGCAAGCTTCATAAGATATCATTATACCTTTAAAAAAATACTCCTCATAACACTAAATTTAAAAATGCGAAGCTATAAAACTATAACAGACAAAAGAATCAGAAGAAAAAATAACCTTTTCCTAATGGAATATTCTTCTACAAAAAGCACTTTAAACTGAGTAATTTGAAAAAGAATGTACGTTACTTACTCTAATTTGCAGAACGCAAAAGGCTGTATTTAAGACAAAAACATTAAGTGAGGTTTTGTGAAATAAAACTCTATGAAGAATTGTTGCAGCAAAGCAAAAGAATGAGAACGAGAACTACTGAAAGTATGATAAAAGTCAACTCAGTTGTGGAAATACGCTAGCTTTACCTCAGATGTAGACTCTAAAAAAGACTTATATGCTTTCTACTGTATTTGCCTTCTTTTGAATGAAGAATTAATTTATTTACTGCTGCTGACTTAGCTGTTTGCCTTGCTTCCACCGCCATAACACCTTGTAGTGTTTTCAACTTCAGCCTCGCGTAGCTGCAACTTGAAATTGTTTGGAAAGTTGATAAAGTGAATTAAATTTGTCGTTCGAAAATATAGCTTAGTTGAAGAAGAGCCATTTCGAGCAGAAGCTCAAAATAACTAGTAGGCTTATAAAGTGCAATAAAATTCTGCTTAAAAATAAAAGATTAAGAACCGAAACAACGTCGCTTAAGGTCCAGAACTATCCATTAGTTTGTCATGTTCCTCAAGTAAGCCTTTTTGCTTACCATCTGCTTCATCTTCGACAATTCGACGTTGCTCAATCTGCGATAAATATATTAGTTTGGAGATAGTACCAACAAAACCCTTATAGACCAAAGGCAACTTAACACTTGTCAAAAGAAGCAGCATTTTTTTCTTTGTAATTACCTCAGCATTTCTGTTTTTCAGCGCATAACGACTGGTTTAACGAATTTCTGGTAATTTTTGATGATCATAACTGCACAAAAACTTTTTTACAAGTAAAGTCTGCATAATGTTACGTCTTGTAAACAGCAGAAAACCGTATACCTTCCAGATCTTTTTTTTAGCTTTTTTTTGAATGCATTGCATTAAACTGATCTAGAACAACCGAAGAAAGGAATGAAAGTATAACAGAACTGTCCATTATAGACCAACAGAAGAAAGGAGTGGTAAAAAACGTTCTTCAAATTTTAAACCACTTTTTTTAGGCTGATTCTTGTGAAAAGGTCATGCAGTAAATGCTGAAAATAAAATAGTTATGAATGCTATCAAGAGCAGCAATGACTGTACTATACCAGATCCGCTTGAAGGAACTAAAAATTGGATAATTCAAATGCCAAAGCTCAAAAATGCGTGGCCAATGATTCCAAAATGCGGTACCATTTAATCACTTTATTTGCTAAATTCGCTGTATCATTTACGTTTTCGCTGCAGTTGCTCTACGGCAACTACCCAACCCTATCTGATGCCACTGCTGTGACAGCTTTTTTTTATAAATGCAACTTGCTAGTGCCTATATGTTATTATCGGGTAACTTTACATATTTTTAAAAATCGGTATTTTACTGTGAAATGCGAAAAATTTCTTTAAAATTCTGTGACAGTCCAGTGACTATGAATAAGAATGCAAATGTTTTGTGGCAACAAGAAAGAACAAATGATTATCAATACGTCCATTATTTGACAGGAACAAACTGTATTATCCTATCGCATTATGTCTAACCTACTGTAATAAAAATAATTTGCCTACGCATAAACGCACAATCGACTCAATCTGATCGGTGAACACTATCAAACAGCCCATTAAAATACTTTAACAAAGTTGTGTAAAAGAATTTAGCAGCACTCTGTGAACGATAAAAATTTGTGGAGACAATTAGATGGTGTGAAAGGTCAATCATGCGAGACTGGCTTCAGATTTTTTTTTAACTGCAGTGAAGTCACAGAGTTTGTGCAGCCAACCATATTTTTACACAAACAGTTCTTATAGAACTTTTCTGGAAAAAAAACTCTTAATACCTGCCAAATGCCTAAATCAACTTTTGCATCAATTTGCTCTTTAGTTCAGCAACAGGCAAAGAATTTCAAACATAGAACAGCAAAGTTGAAACTTTTTTCAATAAATTTTTATACTCACTAATACCACTACTTCATCCTACCAGTTTAAATAATAGTTTCCCTGAAAAGTCTTGTCTTCGAGATCATTCACTTATTTTCGCCAGTGTTCAAAGCTTGCACTCAGTTGGTTTCTCTTATGCAGCTATTGGCGGAAATTACTGCAGTGGATACGGTTTAGTTGGCAACTGTCCAAAAATGCGCGTTTACAATTGGATTTTCGTGAAGGTAGTCCGTTTTATTTGCAACAACGCTATAATTAACAATGTTAACATTTACTTATTTTTTTCTTTTCTGCACAACTATTGATGCAAAACGGTCACCACAGTGCATTCCAAACACTGTTCTTTTCTAAAACGTTATCCTCACTTTTTAATTAATTCTTTTTTTTTTCTTTTTTTGCATTTGTGACTGTTTTTTGGTTAGTATCTGTTCATGTTATTCTATTTTTCAGTTGTTTTCTAATACTTTTGCCACCTACGAAATTCTATTCTTCTTTATGCCAAAGGAACCGAAAAACCTTTTTTTAAAAAAAAAAA